TCTTTTGCAACGGCTACTTTGCAAAACATTTGCACACTTCACCTCCATCGCCACGAACAATGAACTACGACGGGCACCACAACGGCGGCATGCCGACTTTTCCTGCTGGTGACCGCAACCAGCAATATCAGTCGCAGCCCGCGCACGGTACGTTCATCCCTGCCTACACGATCGCTTTTCATTGATTCCTATTGCGCAGGCAACAGTTTCATTGGGCAAGGCTTCCAGAGCAACAGCCAAGTTCAGCAAGGTTCTGGTGCGTTTTCATCGCGATCTGTCGCCTACCATGCTTTCTAACGCGTCTGCGCCAGAAGGCGGCATAATGGTGCAAGGCTTTCAGCAGGCCAACCCGTTTCAATCAGGCTCCGGTGCGTATCACTCTTCGATCAGGTTTGATAGAATCTCACCTTGTTATGCTAGGAATCGACCCGGCGATCCAACAATATCAACAGCCCAACGGTCATCAACAGCTCAACGGTCATCAACAGCCCAACGGTCATCAACAGCTCAACGGTCATCAACAGCCCAACGGTCATCAATCGGTGTTTGGTGTGTTTGAGGCGTAATCTGTAGCAAGCATAGTCCTAACGTTGTTGCTGTAGGTCAAAGCTTATTCATGCAAGGTTCGCCTCAGCATGGTCAGTTTTACTCAACCTCCAATGCGTTGCGTGCGCGATAGACCGCATTCCATTTTTTTTACCTTGTTGTGCAGGTGGAGGCTCAATGATGCAGTTTGGCCAGCCGCAATCGGCGCCGGGTGTGTTCATTTCCGCTTAGGTGGCACACTCGAAATCCTTACTTTAAGGTAGATCGCGGCGTGACGATGCAAGGACATCAACACGGTCACTCCCCAACTTACGGCGAGGCGATGCAAGGAAATCAGCATGATCAGGTCCAGCCAGCTTTCGGTGCGCTTTTGTCTTGGCTCGATATGGTAAACTGGTTTTCTAATATTGTTGAACTAGGCGGAGACTCGACGATGCAAAGCACCCCTCAGTCTTTCAACGAAACGCAGGCGGGGCCAAACCAGCTGGCTGCTGGTACGTTCACCGCCACTGTTTGGAAAGGGCAGCTTTTAGTCTCCTTACATCGTTGCGCTAGCTTCTGTCTCTTCGACGCAACAGACACAGGACAGGCATGCGATGGTGTACGAAACGTACGCGTGGAAGCTGAAAGACGCGCTCCAGGATGACTCGAAAGTAACCACAACGGGCGGCACGTTCCATCCCACCCTAAGCAATTTTGAACTCTACAACGAAACGAATCTGGTGGATGACAAGAAAGGAGGGGACGAAGTGCAGGTTTACTCTAAAACGCTGAAAACGTTTTGGTCGAAGCTTCTCTCAGAGGCCAACCTGAAGCACGCGGATTTTGGGAAAAATAGTCACGAGACAAACAAGCCCCACATCGGGAACATTCTCGTGGCCTTCAGTCGGTTACATCAGAATGGTATCGACGTTGCATTTGCTCCACAGGCTAAAGTGTGTTTGGATGTTTTCCTTCTCTCTCAGGTTGGCCCACTTCAGCTTCTACTCCCGACGGTACCAACTCGCAGGCGCTACAGAACCACACTGGTGACTCATCCTTTGTGATTACAAGTTTTTCCTTGTTTTAATTTTAGTTCAACACCAGCGCCCCCATCGGTTACGGGACTCACTGCAAGCGGTACGGCGGTGCGATCGGACGGGCCACCGGCGGCGTCGATTCCCACCGTCATCCCCGGGGACGCCAGCACTCCTGTGGAGGTGCCTTCCGGTGGGCGGTCTGGGGAAGCGGCTAGGGCTTCAGGTCACAATATCGCGGAAACCCGGAAGCCTTCCGTCGGCAATAGTTGCGAAAGTCCGAACAAGCTCAGTGATAGAGAGATTTTGGGCAAGGCGCACCTTTTGGCTCGCGCGTTTACGGTTAAAGAAATGCTTGAAATTGGCAAGTATAGCGACGCGATTTGCAAGCAAAAGAAGGACAACAAACGAAAGGACGATAAACGGAAGGACGATGAGTGGGAGGACGATGAACGGACGGACGACCTACTCGGGAGCTTTGAGAACTATAATGAGGCAATGCTGGTTATAGGAAACTATGGAAAGCTGCCCCGAGTACCGTATGAGAATCTGCAAGAGTTATGGAAGCAGGTTGAGAAAACCATGCTCCACGTCGATGTGAATGCGCTTGTTTCTGACGAGGATCAAGAGTATATCATTGCGAGCGATTTGGTTCTGGGGTCCAAAAAAAACACGAAAAAGAACATTGGAAGAATCTTGGTGAAATTTGCACGAATTCACTCCGCATGTAAGAGAATATGCCTTTACGACGTGATTGTCTGACTCTATTCTCCCGACCTCGTCAGACATGAGTGAGGACTGGGCTTTCGACTGCAAGGAACACTTGGAGCCCCACGACATTTTCATTTCGTACCGCAAGATCTCGGATAAAAAGCTAGCGAAAACGTTGAAGGATTTGCTTCAAGTCAAGGGAAAAGACGGCGAAAAAGGGTTCAACGTTTTCTTAGACGACGACTGCCTCACTCCTGGCCGCCCAAACTCAGAGCAATTCATGAAAAATCTTCGAGGGTCGACAATGGTCATACTTCTGATGTCAGAGGGAGCAGTACAGAGGTTTAGCTGCTCGTCTTCGGCTAATGCTCCCGCGGCCGCCCCTGACTATATGCTGAACGAATGGACCGAAGCCTTGAGGGGACTAGAACATGGCCTGCCAACGAGTCGCATTCGCAGCGTTGTGCCGATCATGCTGGACGGCTTTGAGGGTTTCTCTTTGGACTTATACCGAGAGGACGTCCGCGACCTGATGAGGTCTATATTTAAAAGGCAGGTGATAAAGGGCGCCTTATCCACGGAACCGGAGATGGTTGTGGAGGAAATATTGAAGATTATTCCTTCCGACGATACAAGGGGTATGTTGCATCGACGGTTTTATTGTGATCTAATATTATCTCGCAGTGAAAACGGCGTCGACGATCCCTTCGACGGCAGGCGCCGGTTTGGGCGTTGCCGCGTCGACCATGCATCCCGCGATGACCACCTTTGCGAGCAATGGAAACACGATGACCACATCCCTGATGCCCGGAGCTATATCTGTTCGCGTGGATCTCTCCGGTTACGATCCGTCTTCCGTCCCTGGCTTTACAATCCAGGTGGATGGCGCGGTGCCCGGCCGTGGCAAGAAATCGTCCTTGCGTGAGATTAAGGCCGACGAGAAGGTCAAAGTAGATGCGCTACCTGCAGTCGATGACATCGAAGCCGCTCCGCAGAGGCGTGTGGCTAAACCGGCGCGCAAGATCCGCGACGGATGTTGCACTATTCTCTAGACTCTCATTTCATATCATGATAAACGATTTCTTGTCCTCGTTTCGCTGTTGTCTCAGGCGTTGGCTTAGCTTTTGTTACCTCTGGCGTTAAATTCTTTTACCTCATATCTTAGCCCCTGACCTCTTCTTCTTTCTAGACTCTTTGTGTTCGAACCTCGAATGAAAAATATTTGTTGCTACGTGACCAACACGGTTATCTTTTCAAAAATTGCGAGCTATTAACAAGGGCATGGGCCTACAACAAGTACTAAAACTTATTTCCCTTAACCAACAATAATGTTAGATCAACGTCCTCTCGTTGCGAGGTGATGTTGCTGTCATAATGTCCCAGGAGAGCAAATAGGGTGCCGGCGTTTTGCGCCGCTGCCTATGACACACCGTGCCCCATCCACCTTCAACGAATGCTTAAAGGCCGGGCTCAGTTCGCCATCGCGTAGCTGGCGGGACCCCCACGAAGTTCCCAAGCAATAAAGTCCAGCGGCTTGTAGATGCGCCTCCGGACGCTACGCGTCCTCGACAACCTCGGCGGGTGAAATAAGTGCCGTCGGTCGCGCCTCAGCCGGCATTTCTTTTTAAGCGGTTAACCCATAAAGCATTCGCGTTACCGTGATCAATCGCGCGGCGTCCTCCCGGACAGGGTGGCCTCCTAGATTCCTTCAAGCGGCCGAGCGGGAGACGGACATTCCCCTCGCGCGTAGCTATGCGCCGTACTCTTCCGCCGATGTGGTGCAGGCCCTTGGCCCTTGATGAATCAAGCTCCCATCACCCACAATACTGAGGAATCGGCGACCCTTGACCCTCCACGCCGCGACCGTCGGAAGATGCAGCCCCGCAGTAGCCTCCCAAACTCCCTTGTAAACACCGTCGCCGCGACTTTCAAAACCCGCGCCGTTACCAACTTAGGTGGGTTCTTGTTAGCGTAAACTCAGCAGATCATGTCTATAGGCACAAAATCCGCCAACCCAGTAAGTGAGGAGGAGAAGTATGTGGACTGGCGAAGCCCGAGTGCACTGGCTGAAGTAATAGAAAACCTTTCTGGCAGAACCCGGTCTTAGCTCCGCCGTGCTATGGCTAACGAAGAGCATGACGTGCGTAGAGGGGGCGTAAGGCGATGTGAATAGCGACGACGATGATAGATAACATACGGGTACTTTGCAAGATCGTTAGATGTTTGTCGATGATAAACGCGAAAGCTATCCCCCGTTTCAATTTCATCCAACTCTCTTACCCCGCCCAGAGCTGTCCAGCTCCCCATGTGCGAAGCGGGGTCTTGCAGCGCCCGTCGCATCGCCCCGCCGGCAGCCAAACCACGCCCACGCCGTCCTGCGCGGCGTCCCACATCCAATCCACTGGGCGCGATCATCTCCATCACAAGCTAGCGACCGCCGCCTCCAATTCGTCGCCCTCCTGAAGACCCCAACCGACTTACAAGGTACGCCTTGTGCCAGGCGTAAGTGCAGATCGAATGAGAGTCAGCAACATCAAAGGCTTCGATTGCCACCAAGTCGTCAATTCTCGCTCGCCTTCAGCTCTTTGCATGCACTTTCACCTTCGCATGGGCGACGCAGAAGATGCTCCCTTTTGCATACCAGCCAAAATAGAACTAAAGTTATCAAGGCAATGAATTGGGGCAAAAACATTATAGCACAAAAAAATCAACTCAAAACCATTGGTCGGGCAGATGGCCGAGTTGGTCTAAGGCGCCACGTTAAGGCCGTGGTCCGAAAGGGCATGGGTTCGAATCCCATTCTGCTCACACTTCGAGTCAACTTCATTTGGTTATTGTACGTAATTTTTTTTTCCTTCCGGACCCGTTTTATCTCTACTTTTTTGTATTTGACGCTAAGACCTTTTTTTAAAGTTTTGTCTCGGGGGGTAGACACGACCGTGGTTGTGCTGAGCAATGTTGCTGACGCGTGAGTAAACAGCCTATCGAATTGGCCTTGATGCGGAGTAAGTGCCTTAGATGTTCTGGCGTGTGCGGACATTGGCTCAGGTGGGGATGGTCACGCAGATGCGCTGTTTCGATAACATGAAGTGATGGAATTAGAAGGGTTAGTGTGGCGAGCAAATTGCGACGAGTTCCTCTTGCAACAATAAACACTTGAGAGCGAGTTTTGAGTTGGAGAAGGGGAGGTCCTCCTTCAACATACATAACATCATCCCCATCATTACATAACATACTATGCATGGCAACATCAATTACATTGACATCATGACTCCCTTCCACCACGGTAGGTGTCCTTTTCGACGGCGCCACTCTCCAGGCTCGCGAAGTATCATCGACCGCGTGGTAGAAAACACGACCGGCCCCAGGAGCTTATGTTGTGACGCGCGACACATTCTCCAACGACCACTAGCATAACGCGTCCCCTGAGGTTCCGCGGGCCCCAGCACATCACTGAACCCGTGTTTTCCTCGACGCTGGGGTTAGTCCCCCCGCTGTCATCGGCCTCCGTCATCGGCACCGGCCGACTTGAAACAGGCGGGATAAAAAATTGCCGCCGCGACAGTGCGTCACATCCCCAACCTGACCACTCGACCACGATCATGACCTCGACCTCTACCACCACGGCGCCCTCTGCCCAGCCCCGGATCGTGATCCTCGGCGCCGGCCTCATCGGCTCCTACGTCGGCGCGGCCCTCGCCACCAGCCCCGCGCCTTTCCCGCCCCACGTCACCTTTGTAGGCCGCTCCTCCTTCACCACCAAGGTCCGCAACGCCGGCGGCCTCACCGTCACCATGCGAACCAACGCCGCATCCCAGCCCAAGACCCGGCACGCGACCCCGGAGAGCTTCACGGTCGTCGGGTCCGTCAAGGAGCTGGTGGATCAGGGACTGAAGCCGGACGTGCTCCTCGTGACGGTCAAGCGGACGGCGACTGGCGCTGTGGCGGATGAGCTGAGGGCCGCCGGGTTCACGGCGGAGGCGCAGGAGGCCGAGGGGGAGGGCTGGTTCTGGGCCAAGACGACCGTGGTGGCCATGCAGAACGGGACGCGGAGCGCGGCGGCGATGCTGGAGAGGCTCGGGGAGAGCCTGGACATCATTGACGGGATGTGGCCGTTCAACGTCGTGGAGACGCAGGAGGGCCACTTCCACCAAGGGAGCGTTGGGCCCGTGTACATCGCCGACTCGGAGAAGGGGAGGATGCTGTTGAAGGTGCTGCTGGCGGCGGGCGTGGACTGCAAGGTGTCGCCGGACATGGACAACGTGCTTTACGGTAAGCAATTTTCGTCTGTGAGCGGCAACGGGCTTGGCGCTGATATTTAAGCGTTTTGATGCAGGCAAGCTTCTCGCGAACCTGAACAACGCCATCTGCGCGCTTTCGGGCATGCCGCTCAAGGCTGAGCTGTCCAAGGTGCAATACAGGTCCGTTCTTAGCCGGTGTGTGCAAGAAGCCCTGGCCACGTACACGGTCGCGGGCATCAACCCGGTCTCGTTCACGGCGGTGCCGGCTTGGATGATGCCGTACGTCTTGAGCATGCCGGACTTCCTGTTCACCCGACTGGCGGCGAGCACGTTGGCTATTGACGAGAAGGGTGAGATTTTCTGTGTATTCGAAGTCTGTGGTGTTCACGTTTAGCTTACGCTTTCTCTTTATTGAACATAGCAACGAGCTCGATGTACGAGGACCTGAAGCACAAGCGCCCGACCGAGATCGAGTTCCTACAAGGCGAGATCTCCCGCCTAGGGCGCGAGCACCACGTGCCCACGCCCGTCTGCGACCGCGTCGTCGAGCTCATCCGGTCCGTCGAGAAGAAAGCCGAGGGGATAGTGCCGCACACGGGGGAGCAGATCATGGACTGCCTAGAATTGCTTTAATTTTCTTCTCTTCAGGGCAGTTCCGTGAACTGTCCGGATTTGTGTGCTATCGGTATGGGATGGCCGTGGTCGCTATTTTGTGAAAGGAACGTTTAACTGCTCTATCTCCTTTGTCGTTTTACATTAATTGTTGCTGGGTCAGCAGGATGAGTTCAGGGATCGGCTCTCCTTTAATATTTTGTTTGTGCACGTCATTATCATTCGTTTTTTTACATCACCTATTCTGAGTCGATTCCTCTCTTGTGTCAGTTTTTCTATGTCGATGTTATCGATAACCTTGCAACTTATGCCTCAAATTTTGAATTAAACATTGCGTGTTACTGATGATGAGATGCTTTATTAACAAAGCAAAAGGGTTCAGGAAGGTGATGAGATCAACTGGAATAAAAAAAAAAAAAAAAAACCCCACGGAAGGAAAAGGAAAAAAGAAAATGCCTAGAGCGCAATAAACAGCGGGGCGAAAATGTGAAAAGGGGAAAGGAGAAGACCGAAAGTAA